AAAAGAAAGAACAAAATGTAATTACAGATAATTAATTACAAATATCAAACAAAACCCCTTTTTTTCTTTTTACAAAATTATTATCAAACCTGCACCTCATTCCAAGTCCAATAAGGTAAATATTAAACCTTAACACAAGACATATGCGTTAAGGCTTTGGTGCGAGTTCGAACACTCATCTCTGGGCTCTAGATTAAAAAAAATAAATAAATCAAGAAATTATTTAAATTGAAAATTTCCATTTAAATCAACTACACGTATAAGAGCGAAGCTCTCAGAAGCTCCAATCATTTTTAGAAGAAATTTTATTCTAGTTAGCAAGACGTGGATTATTTCAAGTTATATTATATTTGTTGCATATCATTGTAAAATAACAAGAATTAGTTTTTGGGTAATGAGATTAGTATATAACCATTAAAGTGAGTTGGCACTATCTCGGGATTGTTTTAGCTTTTTTTTTTTACTTTAAGATTTAAATGCTTAGGTGATGGTCATCCAGTTTATTTTGTTCAACTAATATTTCATAAAAACAATCAAGAAAATATAGTTTAAGATTTAGGAAATAATTCTCAATGATTTTATGATTGCTATAAAGATTTTAAAATATAACTTTTCCTTTCTCCCTCTCAGATTCAGCTTCAGCTCCTCTTATACCCTTTTATTTGGAGTAACTAATTTTTTTCATTTTTATATTTGAACAATACGATAAAGATTTTAAAATAGTACTTTAATTTTATTATGAAACATTTTTTAATCAATAAGAATTCTCAGATGAGAGACTCTCCTTAATATTTGTGTAGCCCTTTTTAGAACTGTCTATGCATGTTTTTGTATAATCTTTGTGAGATCGGTGTGAAGTTGCTCTCTTTCTCCATCTCAGATTCAGCTTCAGCTTCACTTATATTCTTTCATTTGGAGTAACTAATTTTTTTCATTTTTAAATTTGGACAATACCCTAAAAAATAAAGCTCAGTCATTCTATGCGTTTTTTCACTTATACTCACTTGTACAATGTTATGCTTGTTTTTCATTATTTTTCTCTTACAAGTAATATATCAATAAAAATAGTGAATATTTTCTTGCAGTGTACATACTTATTTATGTAGGTGAATACGTGTAGCCACACATCTGCTGCTAGACGGCGAGAACAACGCTTCTACGCTACTCTTTATGCGTCTCGTTTTATCTGTCTAGATGTCTGTCGCCTCCTTACGAGTGGGTACCAGGAGCTACAAATTTGAATGCTATATGTATGCATGTATGTAAATTCACGTGCCTAGTATGCGTGGGAAAATAATGAAACGCTGCAGAACACACACTTGTATACACACATCTATACATACATAGGTATTTACCATTCCTTCACAAAGGACTTAGCGCTGCCTAGTCGAAAAGGGACCCACAACAAATTTGCTTTTAAACTGCCACTTTTCAATTTCAGTTTGTAATTTAAAGTACGTTTGTTGGCGCCTTGGCCTCCCCAAATAATTTGTTCCTGCCAAGACAACAAAACTGTGCCATTTATATATATGTGTGTACCTACTTACATACAAGTATATATGTATGTAAGTTCGTTGGTATGTAGGATGCATAATTTTTGCAAAGGTTTTGTTCTACAGAAAGATGACAAGGACTACGAACTTGACAGTGACAATGACAATGACGTGCGATTGTTATTTAAATTTAAATTTAGTGGCTACTTAAGACGCGCCGAAAGCATTAGCAAGCACGCGGCAGGCGGCAGGTGGCGGGGAAAGTCAGCGTTTATATTTGCATTAAAATCACTGTGCGAAAATTGAAAATTGACCGACCGTTCGCCTAAATTGTCTGCTCGTTGCAGACATTGCCAACCTTTTGGGATCTAAATGGCAACAGTAAATGTAATTTAGCAGACAGAAAAAGGCCAAAAGAAGGGCTAGGCATGCTGGCTTTCTTGCTTACTTCTTGTTGTTTTATTCACTCACAGCCAATTAGCCGTCATCTGGGAAACATTTGCCACGCCCCATGACTTTTTAAGCAAAGTCGAAACTTTTGTCATTACAATACTGATTGCCGTAATCTAAAGTCTCTCTCACATGTATAGTAAGTACATGCTCGTATACATAGGCCACGGCCATGATGAAGGAAAACAGTCCAGAAAGACAAAATCTGCTGAGCTGTGGCAGGAAAAGACTGGAAAAAGACAAGATGATATGGTGACCCAGAAAGTTGCAACGCCGGACAACCGACACTATATTTTTGCAGTGCAAAGTATTTTTCATTTTGAGGCGGTGTTGGTTTTGATGATGACCAAGCTGCAGTCATTGCTTTTATTATTTTCTTTTTTCTCTGCAATGCACACATACTCGCAAATAGTTCTCGTGCTTGACAAATATCAGAAGCGTATGTATTTAAACGTAAAGGCGCCCCAAAGCGAAATTGTGTAAATTATGTGTGTGTGTGAGTGTGTTTGTCGTAAAGTTCATAAAGTTCCAGCAAAGTCGAGTGCTATAAAAACATAAATATACAGAAAAGTTATTTGTGGCAGACAAAGGCGTGCACTAAAATGTCGGTTTAAATACTTATGTATTATTACCCATACGCCCCGTTACACCACTTTTAAATTCCTTTAGCAAATGTACAACAATAATAAGTAAGCGCATGCTGGCCAACGAGTTAACTGATTAAAAAGTTAAACGAAAAGCAAGAGGTTCTCCAACAAAAACGTGGGCAAAGTTTAAACAATTTTCATAAACCTAGAACCCCTTTTAGCGAGTTATCGAGTTAATCGAGTTTAGTTTATTAGTGTTGCTAGCTACAGAGATTCAATTATTTACTATCCTGTTGCTAATGCTGCAATGCAGGATGTAGTTTGTGAAGAGAAAAATAAAACATCTACCTGTAGGTCAACAATCTAGCTGAATAACACTTGTATACTGGCCATGAACATGAGTGTGAAATGTTGAAAATATATTTTACGTTGGAAATTCCATCAAAACATCCACAAAAACATACTTCAGTTGCTAACAAATTATTGTTTCAGGGAATCCATTTTATTTCTTTTGTTCAATGTGTGATTTTATTGCTCGGCATGCAGCATTCTTTTAGGGCCCTGCCAAAGCCAAAAATTGCTTTCGCTTTATTGAAAATATGACAGCTATTTGAAAAGATAAGCTAGCTATATAATACTATATACCAATCAAATCGATGACGGCACAATCCAAATGTGTGTGTGTGTTTATTATGAAGCACTTTGTCGGCACTTGGTTCAAAAAGGCTGAAGACTAAGTTGCCTGCAATAATTCCAACTGCCAGCAGATAACTTATGCAAAATCTAAATAGGTTCGCACTCTCCACTAAGTTGCAAAGCGCTTTGGTAAATTTGCATGTTGGTTCACCTGTGAAATTCAAAAGTTTCTTAGCAGTCCTTAAGCCAAAATTTGGCTCGTTTAGGGTTTTATTTTAATTCTGCTGCCTAGTTGGCATTGCAATGTGTCGGAACATTGAATTTGGTATCTTTATGGGTGGGTAGTTCAAATAAAACACTCAATTATGTATATCAACTCGACAAGAACATAGAACATCGACCGAAGGTAGGTAAAACAATTTGGCTTTAAGCCAAATATGTACATAGAAATGAAACTTTGTGCGAATAGTACGGTGCGAAGCAAAGAAGATGAATATACAAGTATATAGAAAAAAGATGAAAAGCACCAACATGGGACAGCCGCATTGTAGCCACAGCCGACGGCAAGCGATTTGAGGATGTCAGAAGACGTGCAGACGTATGGCAAGGACGCCGCACCGAACCGCAGACGGACGTGAACATGTGAATATAAATCACTTGCAAATAGTTTTGTGAGTGCATTAAGTACGAGTATGTATGAGTAGTTGAATAAAAAGAAAACACAGCTAAACGTCAACTGTTGCCATTAATACAAACATGGATACATGATTTTTAAGCACAACCTTTGAATTTCAATAAAAATGTTCCTGCAGCACATTTATGCAAATGTTTGAAATATGAAATGGACATGCAAACAGTTGACCGTCCACTTTAAATGAAGATGAATGCGAGGTCATATCTGATTCTCCATTACTCAATTCATTGTTAGTTAGGTCGGGTACGCACAAATACGGGTGTGCTTCAGAATTAATTTTTCGTACAAAAAATGCAGTGACTGACCCCTCGGTACCGAAAAAAATATAATTGTTATTTTCATGTTGTCGGTTTCGATATTCAGACGGCATTAAATGGTTACAAGTTCGATAGAGTGCTACTAACTTTGGAGAAATATGTTGACAGCTCTTAAATAAGAGACATGATTTACTAATATCTATTGGAAGAAAATAGTAACTGCTTTGATCGCTTACTTATTACTAAATTATTGTAAGTAACTAAATCATCTTTGAATATTTAGTTTAAGTCCATTTTTGCTCTGAAAAAACTTCACTAATGGTTTTAAAATGGTTTGCAAATTACACATCAAAGTATGTTTAATTAATTAAGCGCCTAAGTGAAAGTTTATAACATTATATTAAAATTTGGATGAAAATAAATTGACAGCATGTATTGAAAATTGTCGGCTTCAGCGAACTATTTTATTTAAAAAGAAAAAATCTATTTATATGAATTCCTTAGTTTAAAAGGGTTGCTTTAAAAATAAGCAGATATCATTATTATTTAATTTTATTGAATTTTTAAATTGAAAAGGTAAATTTTGTAATATTTGTTGCCGGATCCATAACAAACAAATTGAGGCAATTGAATATCTACAACTGTAGGCCTAAGCTGAAATAAAATAATCTCAAGCTATTGTTATTATTGTTTTGTTTTGTAATAATTGCCCGAAGATATTGCTGACAGCTTTTCTTTATTACATTCAAATATATATTTTGAACTATTTGACAGACCGGCATCTCAAGGCAATATGCCAGCACGTCACTTAGAAACCCGGGTCCAGCTGTCTTAACGGAGTACCTTAAACGTCATATACGCGAACATCTGTGGCAGAATGTTCCACCTAAGACTCTTTGAAAACTCACCTTCCTACACGCTGGCCCCCGCAATGGCTGTACAGACAGAGGCAGCGGCAGAGGCGTCGGCAGAGGCGTCGGCAGTGGCGGCGGCAAATTCGATGGCAGCCACATTCACTTCTACTGCAGCCCCGGCGCCCGTCACAGTTAATTTGACATACTTTACGCCAGCGATCTCACACGTTATACTGGCGCCAACGAGTGTCAGTATGATGCGGACGGAGGCGCCAGTCAGCGAGCAGTCAGCGCCATCCAACAACAACAACAATATCACAACGCAGCACGCGGACGGTGAATTGGACGATTTAAATTCGTTTTACTTCTACGAGGTAAGTGAGCATTTGAAATTGAACGCCACTCATCCAATAGAAAAGCAGAAAGTCAAACTACGCTCAGTTGAGTAGTCAGCATTTGGTTTGCAAGGATGTTTTATAAGCATATCGATAAGTTGGTTACGATCAATCAGACGAAGGAATGTAAAGTACATTGATGTATCGAAGATCGACGATGTTTTTAACTCGATGCATTGATGAGACAAAAGGGCCGTCGCGTCAATTGGAAATGACAGATGTAGAGCTATTAAATTAAATTCCCTACCAATTTGCTTAAGAAAGAACATCATACCATATGGTTCCATTCTTCAGAGAACGTGAGTTGATAAGTTAATTGACACCTATCCGTACATAGAACATAGACAATGATTTGAGAAGAGAGACCGCGGCAGGCAAATTAAAAACTTTTATAACGACTTTATGCTAATATTGAGAAAATTAGACTGAACAAACCTATTGCAGTTAACGCACGCCATTGGTAAACAGAGTTAGAATAGTCAGAAGAATATATAGGAAAAAGTCCTCCTTCGTTATTTTAGACTTTAAGTAGCTAATATGTTCAGCCTACTCCCTGACTTTAGTGATATAAAAAATAAAGAAATGTATTAAGCGATATATATTTAAAATCGATTGATTTGATTGATTGATATTATATTAACAATTAAGGAGATTAAGGAGAATATTAAGGAATAATTAAGGAGAATATTAATGCATTTGCGTCTTCACGTGTATAAAGTACACACATTTTCTCACACCCGGACTGTATTTACATATACTTGTATGTATATGATTCGTTATTATAAACTACACATATATGTATATGTATGTATATGTATGAAGAAAGATTCAACTATAGATACTACAGACAGATGTGTAGTGATGGAAGCAAGCTCTGTTACAAAATATGAACTCAATGCAATAGAATTGTTAAATGGGTGATAAAAGCGAACATCGAACTGAGTACAACGCGCTTATGCATTATAGTGAACTTTTTTCAAACGATATTCATACTACATAGTATATTGGTGCTCTGTTAAGTTTACAAATTGATGAATATATAAATACTTACAGGGAGAACGAGCGGTTCGTTACTTTTTTATTCATCAAATTGTGTACCCATTTCAATTTATTCTGTAATGTGTATCTTCCCAGCAGCTTAGCAACATTTGAGATGCCTGGGAATGACTTTGTCTGCATCGTACGTTGTATGTTAAATGCAGAAAGTTTTCGTTATTGTTGCTTCTCTCACTTACAGCGTATTTGAGGCAACATCCAATCAAACAAAAGTTGCAACTGGCGTTGAAAATCAGACAAAAGCTTTGGCAACAGCTGTCATCATGGTGTTGATATTTGAATTTGAATTTTCTGCAATTTTCTTTTACATGGCACCCAACTTCAATTTGTCCAAGGCAATAAAAAAAAGAAGGCGAATATCATTTGTTTGCCGACTCAGTATGAAAATTCGCGCCGAATTAAGTCTCTCTCCTACTGCCAGCGTTCTCCTTAAAACTTCAGACTTCAGACTCGTACATTTGCATGCCACATGCTTTGCTTTAAGGCCTTTATAAATGTGCAATCAATCCATGCTCGCTGAAGTCGTGCCAGAAACTTCGATTAAACTAATCTTCCATTTACGATTGGCAGATCGAGCTATACTCGTAAAAACACGCATACAACAAACTAAGCGGTTTGGGGCTCGAAACGCACATAAAATTTAATGAAATTCCCAGATGCTTCCTCGTATCAGTCACGCCAGAAAGCAGAAATCAAAAATCAGTGGAAATGGAAATAAGCACATGCAAACCCATCACACACACACACACACATACACTTGACGTATGTGTATCGAAGTAAGTGCGCCCAAAAGCGTGCTTCACATTCTATATATTTAAATAAAACGCATATGTGGGAGTCAGTCTGCTTTGGAAAGTTGGAGACTAACTAATAACTGCCGATGGCTTTCAGCATTGGTCACTGAACCATGCCTGCCGGGGCCATTTAATGCAGCGTGCATCATTTCCCAATGCGGTGAGGTTGAATGACGAACTCGTCAACCATGCAGCCATAGAAAAGTCTGCAACTTGGAGATTAAGGCGAATAAAACCTAAGTTGAATTACATTGCAATTATTCCACATGGCTTTAAAATAAATGCATTTTGTCAAAAACATAATCCTTGCTGTGTCAATTTATGTGTTGCACTTATTTAAGTAACTAGTAAAGCATATATTGTCAGTAGAAGCGTTACATGGCTGAGACGTGTCAGTAAGAGCGGCAGGAAAGGGATTGGCAAACAAGCAGTACAAGTAGCAGCAGCTAACTTTTTCGTTGCAAAGAAATAATGTGCTAAGAGTATGAGATACGCTTGAAGCAAAGAAAGTTATATACCCGTCAGGGTTCTGTGCGGAATGTTTGTTAATTAATTATTTTGATACTAAGAATTAAGGAGAACATTTGATTTAGCAAAAGAGTTCTTCCCTTATACTTTTGGATGCTTCAAATAATAAATATTTTAAATGTGAACACAAAGGCTTACATTGCACAGTCGCTACGACACACTTTAAAGAGAGTTGTAATATTATCGCAGCAATGAGAAAGATTTCAATCGCATTGCACAGACGGGACCAATCAGTTTCACAAATCAGTTCGTTAAGTAAAGCAAAATTAAAACAAAGAAAAGTGCCAAGAATCTTTGGGCACTGTTTCGGTTGAAGACTTGAAGACAACGACAAGATGAAACATTCTGTGTAAAAGTTAAGAAATTGTATTTGTTTGACTGAAGGAAAGGCCCAGCAGACACCTTCTGTTTCATAAAACCTGTTTATGGTGCAATAAGTTCTAAGCATCCTTTTCCCCTTTCTGATTAAACTGATTTGAAAAATGAAAATATTGCTGGGACTTTATTTATTGAGGACATGTATTTTCGAGGTGGTAATTGGCTTTTATATTAATAAAATTACTGTCAGCTGTTGAAGTTATGCACCTATGCATTGCTTAAATCGGGGACCGCAAATAATGATTTTCCTTTTTTAAATGCAAAAATCATTCACATACAGTAAGTTTGAGAAAGCGAGGAGTTTACAGATATCATTTTTTAAGTATTATCTATGCATATTCACCATGATTTATAAATTTTAATTTGTATTCATTCGCTCCCAATTTAATGATTAATTTTGAGTTTTACTTTAAAAATTAAACAATAATCATTATTGATGAGAAAAAAAATAAAACATATAAAATAATGATTTTGCTTTCAGCTGCTGTAATTTAGTCTTTTTCATAAGGACTAAGGACAAAATCTATATATATCCTTAATCAGTAAGTCAAGGCAAACATTTTTCAGTAATTAATTTTTAATTAATTAATTAAATTCAACTATTACAATTAATTATAATTAAATCAGGTTAGAAATGTGTGCAAAAAAAACATTCCAGTTACATTTTTTACAAATTTTAACCAATTAAATAAGTATTTGTTCATTTCTTCAGTGCCTGAATTGATGTAATACTTGTACTTCCAATATAACATTTACGGGTTGAACGGATTTTCTAGGGCAAGGGTTTCAACTAAAAAACGAGACAAGAACGTTTAACTTTTTGGCAATCGTGCGAATCGTGCTATTAACCGCTTGGTAAAATTTCCAAAATTGGTTTAATTGATTCAATTATGCAGCAACCGAATTAAAATTTGGCCAAAGCTGTCAAATGTAATTACAGACCAGCTGCTGGATTCTCAACTCGCTTCTTGGTTTTAAAGTGCACTTAATCGACTGGTTTGCTGTTAAATGTAAATGGTTATGGTGGGCATATAAAGTATTTAATGAGTTCGCGTACTTGTGTGCAAGCAACCGTACTAAGTATGTATATTCGCTAATGACCCTGGCACCCTTTCCGTTTTCCACGCGTATACACACGAGTCTCTGTATCCCGACGCAGAACGCAGAACGCAGCACGACGCCTCTATCCCAAGGATTTCAGCTGCCCTTACTCTGCCTGAATATATGTTTGTACATATGTATGAGTGGGTGTGTATGTATGTATGTACATATATAAGCGCAGTGGCTTTTATTTTTAGCCTGGTCATGTGCGACGTCACGTTGTTAATCCAAATAAATATTTACTTTCGATATTTTGCCGGCTTTTCCAATTTTTAGTTGGCAGAGAGCAAAACCTTCTCTCTTCCTCTCTCCCAGTGGGTGATACACGTATCAAATAGTAAATTGGATTGGCTTTATGGTTTTATAATAAAAAGAAATTATTCAAAACGGAATTTTGGCTGCCTTTGATATGATGTTCGTTTTTTTTCCCCCCCATTATAGGTGCAAATAATATAATTCGGGGTCCTCAGAATTGTTGCAATTGAATAAAACAAAGAAGAAGGAAGAGCTTGTTCCTTCTTATGCTTTTTGTATCGATAACCTTGAGGTCGTTTGTGCGCATATTGTGTTCAAACATAAGCCAGGGGCACTGCCGAAGTACAAAAAAAAAAAAAAAACAACAACATCATAAAATATATACTTATATATGGCATGTGTTTGTTATGTCTGAAGGTTAAACCCTAAGCGGTCGCAAAGCATCGTCATTTACTTACGAGTAGACTTGACTCAGTTCGAGTTTCGCTTAACAATTTAATTTGCCTCAAGATGCTTTGGGGGTAGTGGGTAGTGGGCAGCAGAAATTACAGCAATAAGCGGCTTGTAAAAGCAAATTTGAGCAAGGACATTGACTCACACCTCCCATGTCACCCACGCCATCCACATGACCAGGCAAGGGCGTCTTAGCTGTTTTGTTTATCGTGAAGCATTTGTTAAACACTTATGGCAGTAAATAAACATATGTAGCGGCGTCCTCGTCATCCTGTGCGCACAAGGAGGACAAGGGGGACATGTTCACGAGCCCGTAGCTTTAATTACACAGAAACTTATTAAAGCATCGACCCATGCAGCCGACGCGACGCTACGCACATTGTTTGGCTTAATTGCATTGGCCCTTGCCTTGAT